CAGGGAAGAAAGTAACTAAAAAGAGTAATCGACACGGAGAATCTTAATTCTGTGGTAGCGAAGATCGGAGATTTGCTTGATTTGGTGAGTCTTTAGGTGTGACCAAGACATCGAGTTGGAGTCCAGCGGCACAAAGACCAGGTTTGGAGCTGATAAAGTAATAAGAGCCCGGGCGAGTGAGCTTGACTATATCGTAACCCGTGTTGTAAACGGCCAAAGGAGAAGAGGCGTCGCAGAACTGGACCTCAAGACTACCACTCGTACAACGTTGTCCAAATCCTTGTCGTATTGGAAAAGAAGAGAGTCACCGACCTCAAAGTGTTTGCCCTCATACCACATAGGATCGGCCTTAGCCGTCCATCCATTGGAGTCTCCGACCTTATAGACCTTCCCACTGCTCGGAACATTGATCGGCTTGGGGATGTTGGATTGACATGATGGATCCGAGAGGACGAATACTCGAAGTTTTTGTCCAGCGTAGCACCGCCCTGGCGCTGAGTTGATAAAGTAATGGATCCCGGGTTCCGTGAAGGTCACAATATCGTGTCCCGTCTTGTGCACGGCTTTAGCTGAAGTTGGGTCGCAGTACTCGAATTCCAGACGACCTGTAACCTCTGTGACGTCGTCGTCGTTGAAGTCGAAGAAGCTCGTGATCTTATCGTATTCGAAGACCAAAGAGTCGCCCACGAACAAGTGCTTATCTTCTGTCCACTGGTGATAGTACTCGCGGTCCTTGTAAACTGTCCATCCTCCTCCGTTCTCTCCAACCTTGTATACTCGTGCCCCACATCCTCCTCCTATCATAGCCGCCACGATCATGATCACCAAGCTCATCCACATCATTATAGTACCCATGATTCTTCCAACAAAGGTCCAACTAAAGATATTCTGAATGTTACGTTTATTGATGATAGTTTGATGTATTATATACACAATACAATTAGGATCTTGCCTAGAATATCTCTATGAGATATCAATCTACAAAGATAAGTACAACAAGATTATGATAATTACAACTTATACTAG